TTTTTGCTGTAATATTATTCAATAGTTTCAATTCAATAGAACAATAGCATATTATGGCATTTTTAGGCGATGCTGTGGTCACAAGCTGAACAGCAGTGCTGTGAGCTCATGCTGTGTGCATCAGGCTTAGTGGCTCACTCAATACTGAGGCCCTCTCACCCGTGAATTTGGCCCACGATTTTGTTAAAAAATGGTGTCTGTTTACAAGAGTCCTGATGAAAGTGAGGTGAATTGTTGACCAGACCACACACTAGAAATTGAAGGGACGACGACATTTCGGTCCATCCTGGACCATTCTCAAGTCGATTGTGATGGGGAGGTAGGGACAGGCATTAAATAGGCAAGAGAGAGCTGAGGAGGAAAGTCAGGTGTAGGGGATAGTAGTAATGAGAACTGCAGCAGGCCTATTGGCCCATACGAGGCAGCTCCTATTATTACCACCGAAGGAGATAGTAATGGGAATAAGAAGAGGATAGCAAGGGAGCGTAGGAGAAGACAATGAACAGAAAAAGGGAGAAGAGAGAAAGAAAGGGAAAGAGAAAGAAAGAAATGGAAGGGGAAAAGCTTATGTTAAGTCACGTTTGTTAGAAAGATTAGAGCATTTGAGTATATACTGTGAAAGGGAAGAGTCCACAGCAACAAAGCCAGGACTCAAGTTCATGTTGGGTACATTGTTAATAAGAGCCGATTCTACAAGACGGCGTCTGTGTAGAGTAGAGGCAGGAAAGATTATTTTGGAGGAAGACCAATCAATGGGATGATTAGAATCCCTCACATGGCAGAAGAGAGCATTGTTAGTGTCTGCAGACTTAACACTTATCTTGTGTTCTTTAAGTCCAACACACTTCGTAGCAATCTAGTTCACACTGCTCCTCCTGCTTCTAATGCTGCTGGTGTCTACTCTATTTCCTGTTCATCTTGTCCTCTCCAATACTTTGGCGAAACTGGCCGTACACTGAATGACAGACTTAAAGAATTACTATATTAGAATTACATTACTATCTCCTTCGGTGGTTATAATAGGAGCTGCCTCGTATGGGCCAATAGGCCTGCTGCAGTTCTCATTACTACTATCCCCTACACCTGACTTTCCTCCTCAGCTCTCTCTTGCCTATTTAATGCCTGTCCCTACCTCTCCATCACAATCGACTTGAGAATGGTCCAGGACGGACCGAAACGTCGTCGTCCCTTCAATTTCTAGTGTGTGGTCTGGTCAACATACTTCAGCCACGTTATTGTGACTCATCGCCTGCAAAGTGAGGTGAACCCCGTGTATCCGCGGGCCGTTTAAATCTTGCGTAGTACTCCAATACATCATATGATGGGATGCGCATTTTATAGCAAGTCACTCAACCCATCATATGATGTGTTGCATAACTTAAGGGTTAAACCAGCAACCAGGAGGCTATGTCAGAGACTGGGCCATGGGAACATTGATCCTCGGAATCATCAACAGGTAGTCAACAGGTACCATAGATAATCTTCTTTTAGGGCTAGGATACCCTATAGAAAATGTAACCTTCGGCCTCCAGGATGCATGGTAAATTTTTTAAACCTATTTCAGGAAAAATGGCTTCTTTGATGCTGAGAAACACGGAAACTGTGATGTATGACTTGCCAATTCCAGTTAACTGTGTGATGTGTCATTTAACAATTTATTGATTTATTGCAGGCTGGAAAAGTTAGGCAAGAAATTTACTTAGCCCAGTCTAATTACTGTACTTCAAAGTTTACTTGCCAGGAACATGTTTCTGACCTATTTTCATATGTAATGTTATGCACTGTTATTGGGTGTGATTCGTTTTAATCTTTCGTTGCTGATCGTGAATAGAAACAGTGAAAACTAAACTTCTTTATTAATCTTTTGCTCAACTGTTATTTAGTGTGAATACATTAATTAATTAATTTTTTTTTTTTTTTTTTTTTTTGAGATATATACAAGAGTTGTTATACAGGCATACCTCAGAATAAGAGTTTAATCCGTTCCTGGAGACGCCTCGCCTTCCGAAAACTCGCATTCCGAAGTTAATTTCCCCATAAGAAATAAAGGGAAATGAATTAATCCGTTCCTGACTACCCCAAAAACCCCACATCAAACTAAATTTTTATACCTAATTTACCTAATTCATCTAAATAAACCTACAAAACTGTGTTCCAGTTATTACTTACCTTGCTGTCGAGTGCTGTAGGCGTATGGAAGATGGTGAGGAGGGGGGAGGAGGAGAGGAGTTACTGTTTGGAAGGGGAGTCCCCTTCCATAATCACATCACATAACCCCATGCCTTGTAACACTATGGATACCACTTCTCTTTCTAAATTTTTCAAACCAGCCCCTGCTTGCCTTAAACTCTTTCTTATCTGCATCACTCGTTGCAGGGGTATTCTTTAGAAGGTCTTCGTGCAACACCCTGGCTTTCTCACAAATAATGGCCTCCGAAACACTATCACCCCTCAACTCCTTGTCGTGTATCCAAATTAATAACAACTTTTCCACTTCTTCAAGTATTTGTGGTCTTTGTGCCGTTAATGTTCTTACTCCTTTTGCCACTTTAGCACCCATAATCTTATTTTTCTTCTTAAGTATAGTGCATATTGTTGATGTGGCTTTGTTGTACTGCCTACAAAGTTCAACAACACGTACCGTTCTCATGCTTCCGAATGATCTCTTGTTTCTCCTCTATTGTCATCCTCACATGAGCTTTCTGGCCTTTATCCTTACCACTGGCTTTCTTGGGACCCATGGTGAGATATATAATAACAAATTGTATAGACAAATCACCAAAAAACCAACAAAACACTGAAAATCCGCGAGAAGAATTGATGTGGGGGTAGTCAGTGAGCGCGAGACAATAATAAACTGAGGGGCGGAGGGGCGACGATCGCCGAACCACCACGCGCTAGGTCGGCTTTACGCGTACCAACAAACTCGCGTCCAAACTCGCCTCCCGAAGTAACCATCGCCTTCCGAGACAAATTTTTGGAGTAAATACACCTCGCCTTCCGAAAACCTCGCATACAGGGACAATCGCATTCCGAGGTACCACTGTATTCTTGTACAGCCACTAGTACGCGTAGCGTTTCAGGCAGGTCCCTGGAATACGATCCCCTGCCGCGAAGAATCGTTTTTTCATCCAAGTACACATTTTACTGTTGCGTTAAACAGAGGCTACAGTTAAGGAATTGCGCCCAGTAAATCCTCCCCAGCCAGGATACGAACCCATGACATAGCGCTCGCGGAACGCCAGGCGAGTGTCTTACCACTACACCACGGAGACTGTAATAACTCATACAGTTAATAACTCATACAGCAGCATAAAAAGAAAGACTTAGCAATGATCTGCATTATGTAAAGAAATACAGACATCACAACACTTCATACCTTATCTGATCACCAGTAATTTATAAGTTTAGCCGATGTTGACCAAACCACACACTAGAAAGTGAAGGGACGACGACATTTCGGTCAGTCCTGGACCATTTTCAAGTCGATTGTGTTTAGCCCATATTACAAACTGAAAAATGTAGTTATAGTTATTCTTAGTCAATAAGATTGAGGAAAATAAATCAGACAAGTGTCTTCATCGGAACCTAACATTTTTTCATATATCGCCAATATAGTTCACTTTTCTTTGGGGAGTCCTGTCGACTTTCTAAAGTTAACTTACTGATTAAGTGTCATGCTACTTGAGTGTCATCTGTCGCCGAGTTCATGTTTGCCTACCAGAGACCACAAGCCAGTACTTGGCCCCTTCAGACGAGGTGCAGGGAGTGATGGCAAATGAATACTTGAATTTAAAGTCTATGCGGAAATCCATAGGAGCAGTAATGAGGGTTTGAACCTATGCGGTGGCTGTTCCCATGCACATGCTTCTAGCAATTTTCTATTCTAGCAATTTTAGCGAAAGTCTAGAGATTTTACTGATTTTCTCATTCATGCATTCACGTTAGTGTGATTATTCTCTATGTACTTAAAGTCTAACATTTGTGCCATCACCAGGGAAGCACCCAGAAAGGTAGGCGTATCATAACAAACCACTGCATGGTTTAACCCTTAAGTTGTGCAATACTCACATAGGCGATGAGAGTAATGTGCACCACCATGTGCTTATCATACATAGGCAATGGAGGGTCCCGCGCATGATTTAAATGTCCCACTGTGGGGTCACCCATATGAGAGCCAGGGGCAATTGTAAGCAGTCGCCATCTTGGAAAAAATCCATCGTAGGCCGCCATTGTCTTAAGAGGCCTCAGTTATTGACCAGACACAAATGGCGAGTGCACAACATCCCAACATCTGACCACGCACTGCACACAGTGCCACCCAGTCATTGACCGATGAAGAAATTAATACTGAATTGTTTGACGAGGTTGATGAACCTGATATTGACGACTCCAACATAGATCAAGACTACACATAGTCTGAGGATGTTGATACCATGGACATTGAGAATGAACATGACGGTGCCACAAGGGTGAGGAGGCCTAGAGACTCACCACTGCCTTACTCGTCCACACTCAACACTACTTCGTGCCCAACCACAGGTCATGTGTTACTTTGCAAGATTATGATGTTTTGGTCGATGAGTCTGAGAATGGTGAATCATTCTTTGGTTTTAATGATTTAGAATCAGAGAATAGTTTTGCCACACCTGTTGTTGGTGGCAATAGTGTTGCCAAGCAAAGTTTTGTCGCCTATGAGTAGCCGACTGGGCTACTCATAGCCCAGTTGATAGAGCATCGGGCTTACACGTGTGGTGTCCACAGTTCAAGACCCATACAGCCTAGGTGAATGGAAAACCTTCAATGTATCATAATCTTTGTTCGTTGGTAAACTTATGTCTTTCTGCTCTTACAGATATCTGAGCTGATGTACAGTATGGTTAATTTTGATTTTCATGTGATTTACATAGTACTATATAACCATAATGGTTTAGCATTTTCTTTCATAATTACTTGTTCAATTATTTTGATGAAAGTTTCAATCATTCTCATCTCTGCAGGTGAGCTGGATCCAGAGAGGATTGGCTCAGGCATTCAGTATGGTGATGCTACACTCCGTCGACTTAATCGAGCAAACAACCAGCGACCTAAAGCTGGGGCTGAATGCATGGGCTCTTCCTGTAGGATTTGAATGTTATGTCTATATTAGTTCTATATTGTATTGCTTGCCTATGAAATTTTTAGGGTTTGTTGATTGATACAGGTGTTGCCAGTCTACTTAATACTGTAACATCTAATTGAGCCAAGTTTATGATGGTGTTCATCTATGTTAGGGCAGGACTGTCACCAAGACTGAATTAGTTTAGTCAGATTTTGAGTGGTACAGTATATTTATTTAATCACATAGCCTCTAAGGCATATTATTTTAATATTTAATTTTTTCTAATATGCTCCATATTTGTAGACTGAAATTGAAATTCAACATAGCAGTGTTTCATTTTGAGGAAATTCCCATTTTTCTAGGTTTCAAAGTACTGTATTATGATGATAACACTTGCAAGGCCAAAGCTATTAAAAATTACCGGTAAGTATAAAATCTTCCTCTTGCATAATCCTCTCAGTTCAGTATATTTATGTCCAGTCACAGACGGCATAAATATCTTGAGGTTTAATTAAATATATTGAGGTTTAATTAAGTAAAAATTTTCTTGCAAACAGATTGTTATTTTAAATTAAGATATAAAACAATAACCAACTGCCATAGCAGGGAGTGAATTAACAATAATGAATGCAGATATATGATGATTTTTGGTACATGCTCATGAGTACAGTATACCATTTGCATATTATCGGGTAGTAGTAGTAGTAGTTTTCTATATAAATTATGTTAAGTTTTTAACCTTTGACCTATGGTCAGGATCCTATACACTGTATATTTTATAGAATGATCCAGTGCCTCAGTTATGCCACTTAAGGTCTACAGAAAAGCCCCTATTTTTTTTTAACCCCTTTAGTTTGGAGATTGAAGAATTTAATCAATATGTTTTGTATCTGCTTGTCTATAAAGATGTTTCTCTTTGTACTTCCTGTGCAAGTGGTAATTTTTGCCATTTTTAAATTTTGTAAACACACTGTTTGAAGAAAGAGTTAATGATGAATATCTTGAATTTAGCATATTTAGCTTAATATTTTGTAACTATCAAAAGAATTAATGTGTATTTATTCTTTACATAAAGTAGCTTGACTGAAAGAAATTAGGACTTTATGAAAACTAGATGTGTCACCATATTACAGTGGTGAATGTTTAGGGACAATGTTGTCCCTGAAGGAACAACATCCTGGCCAAATACAGTGGAACCTTGAATAACAAATTTAATCCGTTCTGGCGCCGTGATCGTCATGTGAAACGGACGTCATACAAAACGAATGTCCCCATTGACAATACTGTAATGGAAATAAAATTAATCCGTTCTACCACCGAAAAACAACAATATGATATTCGATGTTTTAAATAATGGAGCTGCCTACCTTACATACACTGAACAAACCTTCATGACATTTTTCTTTCTTCTAATTTGTTCAATTTTTTTTTTTTTTTTTTTTTTTTTTTTTTTTTTTTTTTTTTTTTTTTTTTTTTTTTTTTTTTTGTATAGCAATAGGTTTGTTCGGTGTTTGTCAGGTAGGCTGCTCCATGTTTCTGCTGAAAAAAATTAAAAAATAAAATGAAGAATTTTGAAAAACAGAACAAATGTCAAAAAGGTTCGTTTGGTGTTCGGCAGGTAGGCTGCTCCATGTTTCTTAAATAAAAAAAAAAAAGCGAAAAAAAAAACAGTTGGAACAGTTTGAAAAACGAACAAATGCCATAAAGGTTCGTTCAGTGTTTGTCGGGTAGGCTGCTCCATTATGACAATCTTTCTGGGTTCCAAATGTGTTCCATTTGTTTTGTATTTTTCATTTATTTCTCAATAATGGAGCAGCCTACCTGACAAACTCTGAACGAACCTTTTTGACATTTGTCCGTTTTTCAAATTGTTTCAACTTTTTTTTTTTTAAGAAACATGGAGCAGCCTACCTGCCAAACACCAAACGAACCTTTTTGACATTTGTTCTGTTTTTCAAAATTCTTCATTTTTTTCTTTTTCTGGGGGGAGCCCCTACGGCTCCCCGGAGCTATCCATGGCTGATGTGGATATCCTAACTATTTTGCATCAGTCGATGTGGGTGGAGTTCTAGGCCTACCTGGGACCACGAGCCAGAACCTGGCCCCCTCAGAGAGGCACGGGGAGCAATGGCCCATAGAAATGCACATGTGATTTGGAGCATTCTATATCTGCCATCGACCGGGACAGGCACCCAGAAAGGTAAGCGCCACAAAACAAACCCCTATTCTGGTTAACAACAAAAATCGACAAACGAGTGGACAGAACTCCCCCAGGAAAACGAACTAACAAGCATGACGTCACACGAGCCGCGCCGCATGTCTGTGCAGCTTCCCCCTCCCCGGGAGGGGGAAGGGGGAGCCCCAGACCCCCTCGCCGGCGATCCCCGCCCCAGTTCCTCGGCTGATGGGATCATGCACGGTCATGTGGCTCCAGCTCCGGTCTTGTCTCAGTGCTGTGACTTGTTTGCAGTGCTGCTCTTACGGTGGTCGTGTGAGCTGGGAGCAGTATTCTCAGGTACTCGGGCTGCATGTGCTTAGGGTCACCTTCCCTGAGTGCCCTGTAAGTACCGCCCTTGGGGCTTGGGGTTGCCTTCCACAAGTCATCTTGGGTCTACCTCTGTTGGCTTTTCGCTGCTTGGCGTTTGGCCGCCCAGAGGGTTTGGGGGTTTTACTCCCTTGTTTCCCTTGGGGTAAGTGGTAGTTATAGCACTGGTGGGGCGCAGGGTACTGCGTAGCTAGTTTTCACCTATGACAGCGGCCGGCTCTGTTCCCTCTGGGTACGTTGTCCACTTGTGTGGTTTTTCTTTTATATTTGTTTTTGCCTGGTAGGGGGGTCTGCCTTGTGTTCCCCCCCCCCCTTTATATTAGGTTCGTTTGTGTGGTGGCACCCCCTGCTTTGCCCTCGTGAGTGGACACGTCCTGTGGGTTCAGCTTTAGCAGTTTGCTTGGTAGTTTGGGGCGCCGGTTAGCAGTACCCTGCCTGGGATAACCCTTAGTAGACCCAATCTAGGGGCCCTGGGAAACCCCCCGGGGGCTCTCGGGTCCGTTAGTGGAGACCCTTGCGTCCCCTCTCGCTTTGTGCGAGTTGAGGGTTGCTCTGTCCCTTTGTCTCAGGGTGACTCTCCTTGTTTTTGCCTCCGTCATGCTGCCTGTTGGGTCGGTGACACATTCGACCCTGAGTCCTGCGAGCTTTGTTGCTTGTTCATGACTCCATTCACCCAGTCTCTGATGAATTCCCGTGGATGCAGGCAGCTCGCGCGTTGCAGGGTAGGATGTTGCAACGCGCTCAGGTTTGTCGCTTCCCCGGACTCCCCGGTGCTGCCCCGCTTGTGTAGGGTCCCATACTTGGGTGTTTTGGTCGCTTCGGCCATGGTTCTTCCACACTCCCCCTCCTGCTTCCGGCCCCTACACATCTGCAGGCTTCGGGGTCGGGGCGGGGTTAGAGGTTCTGAGATTTGGGCAGTTTCGGGGATTGCCCCGTCCGGGATAGCTGCGGAGGCATTCGAGTCTGTTCCTCCGGCCGATGCTCCTGGGTCTGACCAGTGGGCCCCTTCTCTTTCAGCTCTCTCGGCTGCCCCGGCTTTTTCTTGTGGGGCCGGGGCTTTGGAGGGCGACTCGGCCTCGGGGCCTGGTGTAGAGGCTCCTGGGGTTGGGGAGGAGCGGCCTTGGGGGCCTTGGGCTCCATTACGCCCCGCCTGGATTTCCGTCCTTCTGAACGGGGCTTACTGTTGCGAGGAGTGGGGTTTTCTTTCCCCCCTCTGCATACGATTTGGGCTTGGGTTCTGCTCCTCCCCGGGTTCGGTTCCGCGTCCCTGTGGTTTCTTCGGTTCCGTCTTCCAGAGGTTTTCAGCTACCCGCATCTCTTCGCCTGCAGTGCGGTTGGCCTTTGCAGCTTACCTCCTGCGTGTCCTGGAGTTTGCCTCCATACTGGTTCCTTCTGTTCTGGACAGGTTCTGCTCCTTGTAGCAGTTTGGGCTACTGTCGCTAGTTGGGCTGCTTGTCGCCGGTTATGCTACTTCTCGCTTTGTTGGGCTCCTTGTAGCCAGTTGGGCTACTTCTCGCCTTGTTGGGCTACTTCTTACCTTGTTGGACTACTTCTCACCTGGTTGGGCTACTTCTCGCCTGGTTGGGCTATTTCTCGCCTGGTTGGGCTACTTCTCGCCTGGTTGGGCTACTTCTCGCCTGGTTGGGCTACTTCTCGCCTGGTTGGGCTACTTCTCGCCTGGTTGGGCTACTTCTCGCCTGGTTGGGCTACTTCTCGCCTTGTTGGGCTACTTCTCGCCTTGTTAGGCTACTTTCGCATCCTGCGCATGCGCCACGGGAGTTTGTTTTGGTTCCTGGCAGTGTGCACACGTGTTCGGCATCCATTTTCTCTCGGGGGGGAGGCTTCGCCTCTCGCTCTTTTCTTAATCCAATCCGTGCCCCGTTGCTTTGGGGGTGTTCTGGGGTGCCGCTGTGGGGAAGTCACAAGGTTTTTCCCTGCGTTCTAGGGTGGGGAGCCTCCTTCGCTGCTCCCCTCCTCTCCAGCATGGGCGCCCTGGCCGCCTCCGGCGGATACGGACTCGAAAGCTTGCGTCATGGCCCTTCAGCGCCTATGTTCTGCAGGTGAGTTGGTGCGGTTTGGCGTCTCCTTCATCCTGACGCTGTTTTTGTTTTTGGGAGTAGGAATGGGTGTACATACGTACTTGAGAACGTGGACCGTATCACCCGAGGTGCCTACTGCAGGGCTATTAGCCCATACTGGGCAGCCCTTGTTCTCTCCACCTGATTCCTTCCTCGGTTCACGGGTGTCTGCGGGTGGCCTCTTGGCCCTTCTGAGGCGGCTCCTGCCTGTACTCCTCTTGCCCCTCTCCTATGCTTGTCTAATCTTGCTCGAGTTCGGGGCCCCGCCTCCACCTTGTTCCGCAGTGCAACGGTGGGGGTTCCTGTTTGGTAGTACGTTTTCCTGTGTCGGAGGTTTTGTGTTCGCCTCCTTGTGCTTGCAGGTTGGGTTCTGGCTCTTTGGTTCCAACTCTTCCCTGTCGTTTGCCTGTCAGGCGGATTCTGTGCTTCTTGGGCACTCTCGTCTGCTCTTGGGGCTGTGTATGGGGTCAGCCCATGTTGGGCTGCCTAATGTGTTCCTTTGTTTGCTTGTTACACTGCACACGTTTCTTCTACCGTCCCTGTGGCTCAGTTGGGTGCTTGGTTTCCGCCTGTGTCCCCTTGTGTGCCACTCGTGTACGATTTATCTATCTTCTTTGTCGCTTCCTCTGGGAGTGTGGTGACATTTTGCTGCGGTTTTGGTACTGCAGCTGCGTGTCGGGGTTGGTTGTGGCGTTATGTT